TGTGTGTGTGTGTGTGTGTGTGTGTGTGTGTGTGTGTGTGTGTGTGTGTGTGTGTGTGTGTGTGTGTTAAAGATGCCATCAGATCATCAGTTTCTGAAATACTCAGGTCAGCCTGGCACCAAGTCCCTTCAATCACCTTTTTTCTTTGTGCATTCTGATATTTAAACTTCAGTAGTGCGTCTTGATTGGGTCTACATAGCTAAAGGGATTAAGTTGCTGCCGTGTCATTGGCTGATTATATACTTGAACACCTAATAAAATGGTCTGTGTATATACACATATACGTTCAGACTCAGACAGGTGCCCTGGAGTCTAACATTTGTGTGACTTCACACAAATATTAGGGACATGTGGGTGTCCTCGCGACTGCAGCACCATCTGATGTCCTTACTTTCTTCTCTTGAGCTGTCAACTGTGTACACAGTAAGTCAGCTGATGAGGGTTACTGGAGATCAGTGGATTAGTGTCCCAGGTGGTTCTCTAAGTGATGAGTGATACATCACAAACTAAGTGACTGCAGCTCTGACCACACAAAGACACAAGGGTAAGCTTTTTTTCTATTTTCAACAGTGTATTTCATTAGATCTCTCCCTGTGTGTATATACATATGTGTGTGTGTGTGTGTGTGTGTGTAGGGAGAGTGGGGGATTTAGAGCACATTTTATTGTATTTATGAAAGGCACATAGTCTGCTATGTGACTTAAAGAGTAGTGAGTGTGCAGCATCAGATAATTATACTTGTCTTAACAAGTCTTGCACAGCTTTTGAACTTAGAAATAGTCATATACACATTTGTTCTTATTTGTTCAGCAGCAGAAAGCGTCAGAGGTGACACACAAAGCCTCCAGCATCTGTGGTCTTTGGTGTTGCGAGTCCTCGGCCATCTGTCTGCTGGCTGTGTCTTCATGCTGCACAAACCTGATTAGTGCTGAGTGCACAAAGTTGTCTGTACCATCTCTCTCACACACACACATTAACACCTAGAGACAAACTGTAGGTTTGTTTGTTTGTGAAAGAGGCCGTCCATTCTCTAATCTGAGCTCGAGATGACAGAAAGGAAAAGCTCATGATGACGGTTTTCTAGGAAAATCCTTTGTCGTGGTACCTGTGTGCTGATGACTGAGAAGTGGATTGAGCGTTGTTGGCAGTCTGACATCTTTATTCAAGCCTGACTGAGCATGGAGAACACAACCGTACCTTACAACAAAAATTGTACTGTTTGACAAAAAGAGTAGTTGAGGGAAGATTTATGGATTGATTGTGCTGATGAGGACAACCTGTACTCACTGAACCGCTTCGACGTCTGATGTGCATCACCTTTATGAAGATGAAAATCGCCTGCTGAAGTTGAGTGGAATCCCCTCTGAGGAGGACAAGACTGGACTTGGACTTTGTAGCACAGACTTATTACTGTAGAATCTAAACATTCGACAGTTGTTGATCCAAAGTAACACTCAAAGCAGTGATGCTCTTACCTTTCTTCACATGCTGGAAAAAGTAAATACAAAAAGCATTAAAAGAAATTATAATAACCCAGTTATCACATAATGTTAATTGTTTTTATAACCTTATTGAATATATTAGCAATAACAATAATGTTTGACAGATTACAGAGAGAAAAAAGAGACTGTGTTCTATTTGGCCTAATGGAAATCTTCAGGCTTCTCGTGGGAGGAATCATCAGGGACTCTAATATAGAAGCAGAAAATATTGAAAGGCCAGCAGAAGTGGAGTGCACACTTCTGCAGTTAGAGCGGAGGGGTTAGAACAGGGCCACTGCCTGAACGCTGCAGCTCTCAGCTTGTGGAAATACAGATTGTTGTGTTTCCTTTCAGGGAGCACGGCGGTCCACATTACAGATCCACAACTGGAGGGATTGTGTGAGTTGTTCTATGGCTGACTTATCTTTGTTTTCTCAGTGGACTGAGCAGTATGGATGGTGTACCTCTGAGGGTGCCTCAGAGTGCTTCCTTTCAGGAACTAAAATATTCTGTCAGTACGACTGTCCCTGACTACTTCAACATCCTGCAGGAGACAGAGGTGAGTGTGTTTCTCTCTCTTGTGTTTCCCTGTTTGCTCCTCCTCCTTGCTGTTCTGTCTGTTGTGCAGTGTACCTTCTTTGCTGCACTGCTTTGAGCTGTCACCATTATTTCACTCCTTTAAAAAACACCAAAACAAACAAACCCTATCACACTGACAGGTGATAAGTTACAGGAAGAACCTTGGCTCAATATCTGACTTTTTATGTTTTTTGTATGTATGTGATTAGTACACACTTACTAGCACTGCCAAATAAAACATTGCTCTTTACAGCTTTATGAGTATATGAAAGATGAAGGTAGATCTCGGACAAGAATGTTACAGCTGATCAGATTCCATACACAACATCACAGGTCTCTGTGCAGAAGAGTGCAGTCCTAGGATCAGCTGAGATACTGCACAGAACCCTCAAACTCGCAGGTAGAGGGCCTTGCACATACCACTAAAGGATGTACACTTTAACAGGTAGCACTGGTATGGAGCTGTCTTAGATTCAACCAGGTGCTGGAAACATTTCGTAGATTTTGGTCCATATTGACATGATGTCAGAACCCTGCACAGGAGGGTAAGCCACAGAAGATCACAGAAAAGGCTGGATGCTTGCTGAGTGCTACATCTACTCACTTTAATAGAAAGTAGATTAAATGGGAATGGGATAGAAAAGGTGGTCGTGACAATACAGAACATAGTCTGTCTGTTATTTTTATTTATTTATTTTTTTCATTTATTTGTATACCACTTTGGTCTACTAGGTGTGTTTTTAAAGTGCTGTACAATACGAATTTAAATATAATAGTAAAATAGCAAAAACCAGACATTGCAAAAAAAAAAGAAAAAAGCCAGTCACCCACAGAGTTAAAGGCCAGGATGGAAGATAAGAAACATCTGACCCCAAAATAAAAACGGTCATCAAAGCAACCTGGGCTTCAAATCACCTCCAAAGGGCTACGAGGGGATTGTCTCCATGCCACATTAATGCAATAATTAATGGGAGAGCATCCCTATCAAAGTATTTTTCATCCTCATCACTGAGTACAAATCAACATACTTTCCAGATGTTAGACATTTCTGTATTGTAAATGGTTTTTAGAGTAGTCATTGGTAATAATGTGAGATGCTAGATGCTATGTTTCACAAGCCTTACATTAGCCAGTCAAGTGTTGTTTACACTCAACTGGCTAATGTTAGCAAGCCAAAAGACTAAACAATAAAATAATGAAAAGCCTGTCATCATTGAGTTGAATTTAAAAATGTAGCTTCAGACCTACAGAAGGACTTACACGATGTTTGCATGTTTGACAGTATGGATTCAGTCTGGAGAACTGGGTGCTAACTGGGCTGCAAAGTGGCTTTGCCACCCAGCACCAGCTTAACCCCTCTTCCTCTTCATCAAGCCTGCTGTCATCTTGTCCACCATACTGGATGCTGTTTAGCAGCCCTGGACAGAGCCTGGACTTCTGCGAGCCCAGCCCTTGGCAGCGGTCCCACAGCCTCAACTCCTCCATCCTGCGTACCAAGGCTACCATCTCACCTTCACATGACGAAGAGGGCACTACACAGAAAGCCAGGACGAGTTCCATAGTGACAGTGAGTCCAGGGGAACAGCGTCCTTCTGCAAACTGTCAGCGTGGTCAGAGGAAAGCACAGAAGGCCTTTGTCCCTGACCTGCTGAACCCCCCGGCCTGTCTGAGCAGCCTGCCCCACCAGCGCAGAAAGAACCTGCGCCAGTGTTCACTGTCAGTGCTCGACACGCCCACACAACAAGATCCCAACACAGAGACTTATCCCCAGAGCGCTTCATCACACACAGCCTCGGACACGAGGATCCCTCCCAGCAGAACCAGCACAGCCAGCATGGTAAGAGGAACATGTGAGCTGTGTGTTTATGTGTGCATGTGCTTTTGAAACTTTTACTGCAGAATGTAATACACAGTACAATACAGCTGATGACTGTGATACAGCATCACTGTCCAGGGAAAAAACACTAAATTCACACAGCCGTCTTCCAGCTTTACTTTGTGTTTATTGTCATAATTTCAGTATGTGGCTGTTCATTCGCGAGGCCATGTGAGTTGGCAGTGTGGCGAAGTCTCAGTAGTCTAGACTATTGATAGTTCTATTTCCTGTCTAAATATAGCTTGAAGCTCATGGCAGTACCATCACCTGAGCTGCACGGTCAGTCTCGAGTATAACTAGAACCAGACAGGCTCAGCATGATAACAGGTTCACTCTGTTTATAGTCAGGGTTGTGACTATTGAGATGTGTCAGATATTCTCATGGGATTACATTTCTTTTAATGTCAGCACTATTAACTATGAAAGGAAATAAGGTCTTCCTATCCAGCTTTTCTCCATTTTGCATTTTCAAAATGTTTTTCATGGATTTGCACTCTAAAAATAATCTGCGTAAAGTATGCTCTCTGAATGCAGCCAAGGTGCAAGAGCTTCACGAGGATTAGCTAGTGTGAATTCTCACTAAAGCTGCACGTCAGGTCTACCATGCCCTGTTCTTTCTCAGCCACTCGCTACATTCACTGCAGTCTGCCATTTCTTAGATATTCAGACCAGACACCTGTAGAAACCCCCCTGTCATGTCAGGCCCCAGGGGTTTGTCCTCCTCTGCTTTGGACTCTACAGCAGAACTCCTGTCAGCTCTAAACCCAGCGGAGAGAGAGTTGCTGGAGGCCATCACTGCAAGGGGCTACTCTCTTCATACTGCCATCACTGCCCTTCAGAGGACAGGACAGCAGACCCCTGATGAGGTCAGTGTTATATCCAACAACAAGGCAGTGCTGCTCGAAAACACTTGGTCAACTTTTGGCTCCAGCTGTCGGGATCATGCAGTCTGTTCTATAAACACTGATGCAGTACAAATGCAGCTACTATAAGTCAGTGTGAAAATAGTGGTCACACTTGGACCTGCAGCATTATGGGTCCATGAACCAAACAGAATAAATCTGAAAGGACAAGAAAGGATAGGTGAGAAACCAGGATCAGCCTTAACTGTGCATGGATTAAATAGCTTTAAAGAAACAAACTTAGTCCTTCGGCAACATTTGTTAGTTCTGATACTGGAAGATTAAAGACTAGTGTATTTCATGATTTCACAGAGCTCACACTCTGATCTGAACTCTGTGCCTCAGTCAGTATGAGGTTCTCTATCATTGGCTTCGTCTGCTCACCCCTAACTTGTCGTGGCAGATGGTTGCCTTCCCCAGCCTGGTTCTGCTGGAGGCTCTTCCTGTTAAAAGGGAGTTTATATTTCCCACTTTCACCAAATTTCTTGCTCATAGAGGGTCACATGATTGTTGGGTTTTTTTCTGTTTTCTCTGTATTAATGATTGGTCTTTACTAGAGATGACACGATACCATTTTTTTTATGTCCGATACCGAGATCATAAATTTGGATATCTGCCGATACTGATATGAATCCATATAGTGTGTTTTTTAATCAATATTTTAATTTTTTAATATTTTAATCAATCAATTTTAATATCTTGCTGCTTTTTGTATAAGTTCATACTCTGTTATACCTGTATGCAAAAAATACACTTCACCCAAAATATTTCATAGTTCAGCAAAACTGATCAATCTAATAAACTTAAACCTGCACCATCCTCCCTATTCTGGTATTTTAAAGAGTAAGCAACCTAACTAATAGGGTTGCAAAAAAAAAAAAAAAAAAAAAAAAAAAAAGGGAACCACCCTCCACCTCATGATGCTTAATCAACGTAATCAACTTTAATTTGATGCAGTGTGAAAAAAATGCACAGAAATAAATTATTTTCCAAGAAATATTAAATAGATTCAACATCTTTCCTGCAGACTGCACAGATGGTACCTTCCCAAAGGAAAAAGTACTGTAGCTTACTAGGGTATATTAGACTTAACAGTTACTATATACAGTAATTGACTTCTATGTATTTTACATAAGATTAAAACTTTGGGTGTCAGATTCAGATAATTATTTATTAAAAGCTCGACATTTTAAATGAGAATAAGAAAGAAAAGTATGTCTTTGTGCCCCCTTTTCCCTGTTCATGCCCTATCGGCCCCCCTGGCTAAACTTTGCTAGATCCGCCCCTGCACAGTTACAGCCGTCAGCTGCGTAGAAAAAGATCCTCGAGTAGAAAGTAATAATAAATAAATTCTAACAACAGCTGATCAAGCTTAAACGTGCTGCTTTTGTGCTGCTCTATTACATTTTTTATTTCTCTCCGATATCCGATCCAGTAATTTACGTCAGTATCGGACCGATACCGATACGTAATATCGGATCAGTCCATCTCTAGTCTTTACATAACAATATAAAGCAGCTCGGGGTGGCTGTTGTTCTGATTTTGCACTATAAATGAAATTGAATTAAATTGTTATCTTCTTAATCACAGTAATAAGAAATGACTGCCTTACAGAGCATATTATTGTGTTCCTGTTTGGTCTGGACACTGTGCTTTGTGTATGTTAGAGCAGAAACAGGTTGAAGTAATGTGTGGATGGTGGATTAGTGTTAGTCAGAGCATCACTAAAGTTTATATACGTTGTAGAGGAACATCCACAGTTTCAAAGGCCTGTAACAGAAAAGATGACACATACGTTTTAACGAAATGGTTGGTTTGGAAAGTAAGTTGTTGAGAAAGTTCTACAGGAAAGTAAATTTTTTTTCCCCAAATCACTTTAAACTTACTCTCAACTTCACTGAATATTGAAAACAACAACTGGCCCTAATATAATCCTCATCTGTCGCACTCATGCACCGGGGTTGTGTTTTTGCTTTTATTTGTCACCCATCTGTAAACAAATGGAAAATATAAAATTACATTTTACAAATTAAACTATACATATACATACTACTTTTTAATTTATTACATAAACCTTACCCAATGAATCAATCAACTGACTAACAAAAAATTATTTGGCAGTTATTTTGGTTAATAATGGAGTTCCACCGGGTTCTGTGCTAGGACTAGTTCTTTTTACATTAGGCATTATCCCTAGAAGGCATAGCATACCCAGATACCCAACTTTATCTATCCGTAAACCCAGATAATGCGCAACAATTAGTTAAACTGCAGGAATGTCTTAAAGATGTAAACATATGGACTACCCAAAATTTCTTGTTTCTAAATGCAGATAAAACTGAGGTTATTGTATTAATTGAATCTGATTGGAAACAGTCAATAACTTTTTCCATGTGACAGCTCTTCTCTTGTCCATCCTGTATGAATGAATATTTGGCAGATCTTGAGTTATCTGGTGGCGTGTGACCACTTGTGTCAGCTGGGTTATGACATGTCCCAGGTGGAAGAGGCCTTGGAGATGTTTCAAAACTGTGAAACAAAGGTAAGTCTTTAAAGTTATCAGAGACAACAAAGCTTGGCACTTTTTGTCTGATGAAGTCAGTTCGATTAGAAACTTTAAAGAAAGTAAATGTTTTCTTTCTCGAGGCAAAGGAGTTCCTACACCTGCTGAATCAGTTCAATGAGATGGGCTTTCAGAAGAATGCCATCAAAGAAGTGCTGCTGGTTCATGAAAACCACCGAGATCGGGCCCTGGAGGAGCTGATGATGCGTGTGTCCTGATAAAACACACACACTTTTCACATTGATATCTTGCAGACAATCATCTGTATTCTAAAAATTGCCGTCATATCTGACCTTGTGCTGGTATGAAACAACTGCACACATATAGTTGATGCTGACACTGCATTGTTAGATGATCTATTCATATTTCTGAATTAACCCATATCTTCTTTACCACTTTTTTAGATTCATTTTGGAACAAAAATACTCTGATTAAAGTCCTGCTGTGTCTAAATTTTGAAGTGACGTAAATATTTGTAGTAATTGTGAACAAACTTATTAAAAGTGTGAAATTAATTTACACCATGACCATCTGTTTTCTTCAAGGACTGTGCAATAAAAAGTGTATATTACAGGGTGGGTCCCACAAACAAACACGATAAAAAGCTGCAAAGCAACATTAGTGCTAGCTTTGCAGCTTCATCCATCAATCCTGCTTTGATTCCTCCGTAGACAGTCTGAACAGTAAACAGTCTGAAACAATAGTTTGGGCAGACTAAACCAATTCTTTAGAGGTGCGATTGAAACAGCTGCAGTGTGGGCTGTAATCCTTTGCCACATATTATTAGAATAGAAATCAGAATGATGATCACCAGCTTTTAAATGTGCTGAGAGCATCCCAGGGGACATCTGTGACAGACATCAGTGTCTCTCAGGTTCTGGCTTGGGCAATTTCCTAAAAGGGAGGGAGTGGGTTTAGGAAGCCTCATCAAAAATGTATATATGGATCCAATCCTGCCAAAACCTTTCATCTCACGCCGGAGCCTCCATTTGTTCTCCTCTATGGTGTACTCTGTGGTCACGTGTCTGCTGAGCGTGAACACAGAATCTCCTCTGACCGCTGCCGTGAACAGAGAGCTCTTGCTGTTCCCGTACTGACCGGACATCACTGTCCACTGATCTGAAGTCAGGTTGTAACAGTCCATCACACATTGTAAGAAGTCTTCACATGGTCCATTCCGCATCACATAGAGGTTATCCCTGTGGGCCACCATATGAAGACCATAACTGTGCTGGCGGATGAGTGTAGTGACCAGATTCCACCGATTGTGTTCAGGTACGTACTCAAGGATGTCTGTGGCCCCTTTCCCTTTCCAAAGACAGATATAGATCCTCTTCATGGCTACAGTGGACACCACTGAGGCTGCAGGGCACGGGAGGGAGGAAACAAAACTCCAGTTCTGATCAGACAGCCCATATCTCTCCACTGATGACAGAGCCTTCTTGTTATACTCCCCTCCTATAGCATAGAGACATCCCTCATGACCTATCAGAGAGAAGTTGTAGCGTAGCTGCTGAGGTCCACAAATCACTGACCATGAATTGGCCACGGGATCGTAGCAGAATCCAGTCTCCACTACCTTCTTGCTTAAATCATACAATCCTCCGATTATGTACAGTTTGTTGTCGAGGACTGCCACGCCTGCCATGATAGTGCTGGTGCTCATAGGAAGATGTGTGAGGATTCGCCACTCTTTTTGCTCTTCATCCAGATGACACACTGTCCTCTGGGCATCCTGGAGCAGCTCAGTGGATGGAGAGTGACTGCACACTGCCATGTAGCTACTTGGGAGAAGAGACTCAATGTACTCCAGCAGCTTACTGGGTAAGCTACGAACCTCCTCCCCTAGGTCAGCGTACATGTCTCTGATGAATAAAGCTGCTCTGTGGAACAACTCCCACTCTCCGTAGGTTGCAGCTGTATGAAACATGAGCAAGCAGTTTTGGGAATTTATAATATTGATCAAATGCTTGGTGAGAGCTGGCACCTGGAGAAAAGCCGTACACTCTATTGCTTCGACGATCTCGTCACTGTTGAGGATGGGTCGCTTCCCATCCAGCACCTGCAGCAGAACTTGAAATCCCAGATTCCCCACACATTTCAGCTGGACCTCCTCCTGTTTAGACTCTCTCATTCCTGACTGGAACAATGCTCTGAAGTACTCACAGTTTTTGACTACAGTGGGTTTATCCACAGTGAAAACACAGTCTTTAATGCTGACTCGCAGGCTGTCTGCTCCCTTATATTGTCCTGACTGTTGGCTCAAGTGTGGGCAGCTGCTGGACTCCATGACATCTGTTCCATAAATCTTCATTTCATCTCCAGTGGAACTGGAAACGACGAGAAAAGTTTGAATCACGCCAAACTACAGCACGTAGACTGCGTCGTACCACAAGCTTGAGCGAATCCCTCTGATCCAGACCAAGGGTATCTGACACTGTATAAACTATTTGTTTGCAGAGCTCTGACAACAGACTCTATACATAGCAGCTAGAGGTGTGTCACAGTTCAAGTACATTATGAGGACATGCAGCCAGAGCAGAAAGAGGAGCTGGATAGTAGCTGTCAGTGTGCTGATGATTCACCCTTCATTTGTGGCTGACAGTTCTGGAACAGCTGAAGCTTTGTCCTTGATCGACATAAGCAAGCAAACTAAAACAATGGGCTTTTCCCCAGGGGCAGGGAAAGAAAGAGTGCAGGACCTCCACTGGTATCTTTATCTTATGTTTATTGTGTCTTTTTCCAACGTGTTTCCAACACTACAGTCGACATAAAGGCAAATGTACAGGTCTACACAGGTTATAGTAAGATTCTGCTCATAATTTCAAAATTAGAGTGAAGTTACTCACCCCGGTTCTGTTAGCCTTCAGGGCTGGGGGGCTGGGAGGAGGTGCTGGCCGTCAGACTGGGGTCTGGGATGTGGGGCCTCCCTGCTACTGCAGATAAGGAGGTGGTCCGCTTGCCTCCACCCCAGAGAGAAGAGTTACATCTCTGAGGGCGGGGGTACCTGGACCTGGGATATAGAGTATGTTTGGGGAGTGTGACTTTCTGTGCAGTGTCTATTTGTGTCTGTCTACACGTTGGGTGAGTGCCGAGTATTTGGTGGTGCATATGGGGTGGGAATGCACGTTTGTGTCCGCGTGCACCTGTTCATCTGTGTCTATATGTCAGGTTGGGTCTTAGACTCGACCTCTCTGGGTACATCTCAGGTCCCCTAAAGTACGGAGGCCTATCTCCCCTCACCACACTCCTTGCCGGTGGCTGATGCCCTCAGACGTTGGTGTGTTGGTGGTCCTTGTCGTCTGGGGCTGGGCGCTCACGTATGTACTGGCTCACTCCTGGTGGCCGATTGGCAGGGCTGGGCGCCTGTGGCCCAGCTGGGCTCCTTCCGGGGGGTGGGATGCTGTCACAGTCTAGCGAGGGCAGACTGTATGAATTGAAAAAGGACCCAAAATGCAGACTCCAAGGAACAGGGAACAAAACTTGAATGTTAACAAAAAGCGAGCCGTTTAATATGGCTGGTAAAAAAGGTACAAACAAAGGGCAAGGCAAACTGAAGCAAAATTAACATAAACCTAAACTGGGAAATCTAAACAAACAATAAGAAAAACCTAGACAAGAAACTTGGAAGCATGGCATAGGAAACATGGCGTGGACAACAGACGACATGGCAATCACACACTGAAAACAGAGGACTTAAATACACAGGAGGTGATTTATTCATCTTCATTTATCCTCATTTAAGCATGCATCTTCTAGAAGGGAAGACTTGCCAGGCCGGTGCACCTCTGCAAAATCTACACTCCTTTGTCTGTGAAACACAGTTTTGTAGGGGCGACCCTATCATAAAACCCCCCCATGGTGTGCTGCAAACTCTGTGGGTGTAGGTGACTCCCTAGAGGTCATAAAACCCATCTCCCTTCCAGACCACAGTTATCCAGTTACAAATGTTGAGACCCCCACCCAAACATTCTCTGGGGAATTTCCACTCAGCATTAACTCCTCTCTGTTTTACTTTCACAGTTCAAGTGGGGGAGGGGTCTCCTACAATCTACTCCTAAGTTCACGACACAGTGATGCCTTTATTATATTGAGGGCAGTGTCAGTGTCTCTACAATAGTTCTACATTCTATGTTAACACATTTCTAAACTCTAAAATCAGCTAAACATTCTACAACATCCAGTCATTCCCATTCACACACTGGTGATGGCAGCTACATTGTAGCCACAGCCACCCTGGGGCGCACTGACAGAGGCGAGGCTG